CTACACAAGCAGCGTCCCAAGTTTGGGAAACACTACCTTAGGAGAACAGATTGGTGAACAGGTGGGCTGTTTTGAGGGAAGCCTTGGTAAGCCTGGAAGGGGGTATTAGGTGAGATATTCTAGGGGGTATCTAAATTCTGTTTTTGGGGTAACAAAAGGATGTAAGATCAGGGAGGGCAGCCCCTCATTTTGGTACTGCCAGTAGGTAGCAGGTGCAAGGGTAGCACCATTCTCTTCTCTCCTCCCTCTCTCGCTTTTAGAGCTAAAAAGTCCAGCAAGCATCTGAATCAAATCTAAGGGAGCCCAGCAGAGTCAGTGTGTATATCTGGATCCTGCTAAGCCCTTGGTTTCCAAGGAAGTCAATGGGAACTGAAGGACACTTTGCCCCTCACAAAATACAACTCCGTATGAGTCCCAGTCATAGAACCCATTCCACCAAAATAGATATTTTCTAAATTGACTATAACCTTGATCAGGTGTATGTGAGCCAATGGTGCAAGTAAGCCAGTATGGTCAGGTACGCTGTACCATTAAGACATTTATTGCCAGTACACCATACTGGAAAGACACATTTTCAAGAATGAATTGTAGAGCCCTGCAAAGACACAAATTTATATCCGTGGATGCAGATATCCTTGAATAGAAATCGGTAGTTCAGTGTATACAAATTTCTATCCATGAATCATAGAATATCAGGGTTGGAAGGGACCTCAGGAGATCATCTAGTCCAACCCCTTGCTCAAAGCAGGACCAATCATCCAACCAATTTTTGCCCCATATCCCTAAATGGCCCCCTCAAGGATTGAACTCACAACCCTGGGTTTAGCAGGCCAATGCTCAAACCACTGAGCTATCCCTCCCCCAATGATGAATATCCACATCCGCAGGTATAAATTTGTAAAATTCAAAAAAGAACTAGATAAATTCATGGAGGATAGGTCCATCAATGGCAATTAGCCAGGATGGGGATGGATGGTGTCTCTAGCCTCTGTTTTCCAGAAGCTGGAAATGGGCGATGGGGTTGGATCACTTAATGATTATCTGTTCTATTCATTCTCTCTGGGGCACCTGGTATTGGCCACTGTCGGTAGACAGGATACTGGGCTAGATGGACCTTTGGTCTGACCCAGTATAACCATTCCTATGTATCTGCGCAGGGCTCTAGTCATGGAACATTTTTTGTGAGGGCAAGCGGGGTCGGTACCATACCAGTAATAGTAAAAATCTACTTGCACCATTGATGTGAGTTTATGTAGTGACAGACTCTATTATAAGGTGAAAAATCTGGAAAAGGACCATGTAGCCCAAGTAAAAATTGGCTTAGTCTTGAAATAGAGTAGTGAGATACCCAATTTCATATCTTATCAGAGTTGTAATGTTTTGCGGGAGAAAATGTGTTGCAGTTTTGTAAAATCCACATTTTTGTGCCAATTTCCACAGTGTCCCTTTAAATGAAATTTAGATTTGGTTGGAAAACACCTGAGAGTAACATATAAGAATAGCTATTTTGACAGTTTCCACTACAAATAAAAAGTAAAAGCATACATCATCCTGTTATTGAACTCTAATTAAAGAGCAAATCCTGCTCATCACCCTACTGCGTAGTCCCATTGAAATACATGTTGATAAGTGTTATGCATGAGTCAATGGCAGTGACTTCAATGGGAGCATAATGAGATATTTCAAAAAGCAATTGCAATAACATACTACTGTAATATGATCACCTTGGAATAAAATAACCTTTCCTCATGCTATTACTAACAGCTTTTTTTGATGTGACAGTCTTCGATTTTGGCAAGAATCTATTTCTGGGAATGCTCATTATCTGAGGCAAAATTATCATATAGTTAAAATTTTAACAAATGAAAATGTAAGACTACATACAAACATGAGAGAATAAAGTTTATGCAGATATTTCTCCTGCATATTCATATTTCCACTTATGCTGTTCCTTTTGCAAGTATTTTTGTGATATATATATAGATTTGCTTTAATCCACTTAACTGCTGATTCAGCTGTACATTTTTGAATGTATTCATGTTGCATGCCATTGTGCTTTAATACAGCAGAACATCTCTAGATAGTTTGTCATGCTTACTACATCTTCCCCTCATAAGATGAATTATTTTTAAATGTTAATTGTTTATTTTAGAAGTAAAGGACAGTAACGTACCTAATTTTTTAAAATGACAGTGAAGTGCCCACTGCTTTGCAAATGTATATTTATAAACAAATGTATCTCTCAAAGAATCACAGGAAAAAGAAAGACTAAAACGGGGGCAATACCAAACTAAACTTCCGTTTGTGAGTTTGTAGAAGAAATTAACATCTCACGGATTTTACATTTGCTATATTTTGTGAATTCGCACAATTTCCCTGACTGACTTTACTTGAACCCAGTATTCTGCTACAATGTTCCTTTGTTTAAAGAATTCTCTTTACTCCCCAGGGAAGCTACAGTGAACCGCCTTTTGCAACAGATTGTTTTCATCCCTAGTATGCCCCTCCCTGTATCAAATAGGCGCCGCGACCTCGAAAGCCACCATGTTACCAGCCCATGCGAAGGAAACACTGTAGACTCTTTGGAACACACTATTACAAAACCCCACCGCCGGGGATGAGCCTCGCCTGGCGGCCCCGCGCCCTAGCAGAGCTCCGCGATGCCCAGCGGCCCCGTGAAGCTGGCCCTTGCGCCGCCCGTAGGACAGGAGGCTCATAAGGTGCATCAGATCGGGCCCTGGGCAGCTCCACGTGGCACTGGCAACCATGCGCCCGCCCGCTTCCTGGCGCTTTCCGATAAGGCCCGCCGCCGCCGCTGCCCACCCCGCTCCCGGCGGCTCTGTAGAGCTCTACTCTCCCGCGGGCGGGGCGGCGGCGCTGGCCAATGGGGCGGCGCGGCGGCTGGCGGGGAGCTGAGGTCAGTTCCGCCGTACGCTCGCTGGCTGCTGCACTCGCGCAGGGCGTGGAGCCGAGGCGGCGGGCGGGGCGCTGCGAGCGCGCGTGGGGGGCGCAGGCTCACCCACGGAGGGTAAGTACCTGGCAGCGTGGCGCTGCCGCTCCCCCGCAGGGCGTAGGCGGGGATGGGTGTCGCTGCTGGCCTCTCGCGGCAGGGAGGAGGGGGGTCGTATGAGTTGCTGGCTGAGCTGTGGGTGTTCGGGGTCCCCAGCTCCCCTCTTTGTGTAACCCGAATCGGGGGCTGTCCTAACCCCCCTTCTCTCCCCGGGGGGAGGCAGCCCCTCGACTAGGCCCCAAGAGGACACCCTCCCCATCCCGCCATGGGGGGAGACTGCGCCCTCCCCATCCCGCCGTGGGAGGAGTCTCCAGTAGCGGGACCTGGCGCTGCAGCCCCTTATCCTGTTGTTCCAGCTCCCCTAGTTCCGTGGGCCTCTTCCCCCTCGTCACGGGGCTGTGGAATGGGGTCCCCCTAGCTGCGGTACAGGCGGGGGCTGCACTTTTCGGCTGGGGGAGCGGTAGGACCTGCTGCTGCCGCACTCTGGGCTGGCTGTGCTGCCCTCCCTGGGCTGGTCGGAGCATTGCCGGGATTAGTGGGAAAAAATCTCCCCTCTCCGACCCCCCTTTCATTTTGTAGTTACAGACTGTGAGAAATGTCTCCTTTCCCCAAGGAAGGGATCAGGGACCCTGCTTTGAGCCTTGCAAAGTGCAGGGAGGGAGCAGGCTGTCTGCTTTAGTCGGTTCCCAGTAACATTGTTACTTGGATGCATTTCCTTGGGCGCACAGTCCACATTGGTGCAACTTCTGGCTGTTCAACAATTTTGTGTGTGGTCATGGGGTTAGGCTTTTGTAGAGCCCATCAGACTTCCATCGACACTTACTCTGTTGCCCCAAGATTACAACTGGGTCTTTTGTCTTGCTGCTGAATAGGAACTTTGGTTAGTGGTTCTGCTACTGAGGAAAGTTTAGTATTAATTACTAAATATACAAATTAACAATGAAATACTGTAGGGGAAGAGCTGGAATAGATGATCTAAATGAAATCTTTTCTATCTGTAATTTGTTTCAAAAGAAACTCCCCTAAGACAGTAGTAGAATGAATATATTTCCTCAAAGGATTTAAACACAAATAGTGATTTATAATTAATATGCCGTAGGGAATAATCCTGCATTATCTCAGATTTGGCTGAATGTCTTGCAGTATATTTTCAATAACAAATTTCCATGCTGTTACTAAGAAGACTATCAGTGGGACTACTCATGGTAGTAAAATGTTTCCAGGATCCGGGTCTAAGAGATACATACTTTTTAAATAGGATACGCTTCACCATTTGGTTCTATGTTTTCTTCAATGCTGTGCCTCATTAGTGTATTCTTATTTGCCCTGTAAGTATAGAATAATATAATACTAAACCCTGGTTAACCAAGTTTAGAATATTGAAGGATTTTTTTAAATGAGCATAAATGTGTGCAACAGAAAACTCTGATATTTAATTTTAAAGGCTGGCAATTATACATCTAATCATAAACAAGTGACGGTATCTCTTGAGTACATTTTACAAAGGTAACTATAGATGCAGTAAATATTTAGCATCTCAGGGTGTGTGTGTCAGGTTACTGCAACAGGACTACTCTGTAGTTTTCTGCTTGAGGTTGAAAGCAGCATTTTGTATATAAGTAAATTGAGGGCCCTGGTCCTTCACTGAATGATGTAGGTAGACCTCTGTAGTTCTCAGTACAGGAGTGGGGTCCTAGAATACTGTGCAGTGCATTTACAATACATTCTTCTTGTTTTCCTGGGACAAAATACATTTAAGCTATGCTTTAAAAATAGCCACAGTTTCTTTTTAACTTAATATTTTGTATAATTCACTTTGTAGGAGGTACCAATAAATTGTTCTGCATATAATTCAAATGGAGATTTTTTTTTACATGAGGGCAAGATGTGAAATAATATAAAATAATTGTATATTTTATAATAAAGGCAAGCTTTAAAAACTGGTGCATTGTTTTTGCTTTTTAAAAAACATCTGGTATTGATATTTCTATTTATTTTTAAAGAGAGAAGAACTTTGAACTCCACATAATACATTAAGTGTTGTGCTACATGGCTAGAAGTTCATTTGGAAACAAAATATCTTCTACACCATTATTTCTGCCAAAGAAAGTTCCATTGGCATAATTTGGTGACTCACTTGCTTTTTAGTACAATATTGTTTCTTTTTAAAATTTATTAATACTTTTCTACATCTTTCGAAGATAACAGTTAGAACTGAAAACAGTATTCCAGGAGATTTATATTACAACGTTATAACATTTTCAGTATTCTTTTCTCTTCCATTCTTTATATATTTAAATATATTGTTTGGTATATTGGCTGCTGCTGGACACGAGCAGAGGTCCAAAATGTTACCTTTGGATTGTATAGTCATCTGTACTTTTCTGTGCTTGTTTGGTTTGTGCTGCACTTTGAAGAAACTGTTCCCTTTAGTTAACTGTCTGCATTGTATCTCTCTGAATATTTTGAAGAGTATAAAGGTAAGCTACAAAGTGTCCAGTTTTTCTACAAACTTTGTCACGCTGGTGGTAAATGGGCAGTATGTTGCCTCCTGAGACTGTGTGGATTTGCACAATTCACGGTAACGGTGTTCTGGAATATTCTCACATCTTAGTAAAACATCTATATTTCTCTTGTTTTCATTCATTCTATCCCACACAATGACAAAATGGAACCCTTCACACCAAAACCTTCCAGATTGGACATTCAGCACTCAAGAACAACCAGTGGTGGGACTTGGCAAAGCAAATAGGGCATGTCATTAAGACATCAGATTGCTGTTTAATCTTTTTTTCTCACAGAACACTATCTGAATGTTTCTGTTTATATTCATTCTCTTGATTCTAATACAAATCTAATCTGAACATGGGATTTGCCATATGCTTAAATATAGGATTTCTTCTAAATGTAAGGCCTATTCAGTTCAAAGAACTCAATAGGGACAGTCAACTTTCGAAAATATCCCAGTTTAGTTTCTAGTGTATAAAACTTTCTGCTTTTAAACTGGATAGCCCAGTTGCATGTCTATTAAATCAAAACTTTCTTAAAATAGTTTTGTTTCAAGCAAACTTCAAAATCTCTTGTGTTCTGCTAAGGCCTGCCTCTTTGATATACTTTTGTTCATTTTTCCATATTTTGTGGAATTTGCCTTGCTGGTTTTTTTAATAGCATAAGAAAACACTTGAGCTTTTAATTTTTTGTGTGTGTGTGTGATCAAGTAATTGGCAGCTGAAGCCAGAAGGTTTTGTTTCCCTATTTGGTTGGGTGCAATTATATTGTCTGTGGATGATTCCACATAGTTTTTAAAAAAATGCTTAGGATTGTCAATGAGAACACTTATGTTAATTTTATCCTTGCTTTTGACATACAGTTTGATTAAGATTTCAATGCTGCAGACAACATCAGAACAATTGTGTAGATGCAACACTTAAATTTTGAAGAAAATTTGTTTTAAATTTAACAGCATTATAAACATCAAGTAAAGCTCTGTATCATCTTCGTCACCTGAAACACATCAGTAGGCCTGCCATATTTACGTCCAAAGGAAATAAAGACTTGGATGGAAAGTGGCTTGCTCATCTTCAACCTCGATGAGACGGAGGTGATACCAGTATGAAGAGAGACAAACCTGGGTGGGACAAATAGGAATTTTCATCTAGTTCTCTAATAAGGGCATATACCCTCCAATTGTCAATATGGTCAAAGCATTGGAGTCATAAAACCTACTCATAGACGTCCAGATGGCTCAACAGCAGCCAACCTTTGGCTGCACAGGAGTCTGTCACTGCTTCCAGATGTGGATTTAGCTACAGTTATTGCCACATAAAACTGCATTACTACAATTTGGCTTCATCCAAAAGGCTATCGGCAAACTACAATTTTATTCAGCACATACCACCTAATCTGCTAAGTGGAGTGAACCAATAAAAGTACATAACACAGTACTATCAATTACATTGGCTGCCATTTGATTTTTCATAAAAATTGAGGTGGTACTTCAAAGCCCTGGATGCACTTAAAACCAAGATCTCTCTAAGAATTAATCCCAATCCCTTTCCTAAGAACATTAATTGATGGAATACAGATTCAAGATCAAATGAGCTCACAGCAGTGCATTCACAGGGAAGATCTCTGGAACTCATTCCCACCGAAGTTCAGGCTGACATGAAGACTTACATCATAGTGTAAAAGTGTCCTCTTTCACGTGGGCATTGCCTTCGTATGATATTACTAACTAATCCCAACATCATGCATTTGGGGCAATCGCCCAAACCGTCGCTACCTATAAGAAAGCAAAGGGAGGGGAGAGGGTGACTCCTGATGGATATGTTGCTATGCAACGTCATCTAGAAATGTCTCAGTGCCTAGATACGCATTATGCAATGGCATCTACATGTATAGAAATGCTTGTACAGGGAAGATGCGAATTCATTTTACATGTTGATGCTTGGGTAGGCGCTACACAGAAGGAGAGTCTATATCATTAATCTTTAGTTTTGTGCATGCTTTAAAGAACAAACTTTTTTTATTTTTTAACATATATCAACTTTCTCACAATCTAGGCAACAGCTGAGGATCAGATTCTATTTACATGACATTTAAAAACCACAGGAAAAAACCTCCACTGCTCTTTGTTGTTGTTCAAAGAATTTTGGAACTATCAGGTTGTGAAATACATTTTGTATAGGCTAATAGTGCATGGTTTGCCATTGTCCTCCAACTTGTGTCCACTGTTTGTTTGTTGTGTGTGTGTGTGTGTGTTGTTGCATCTTATGTATTCAGATTAGATTTAATCTTTTTAGGGCAGGGATTTTGTGCCTATGCACAGAGCCCAGCGTGGATACAAATTTGTACCCGCGGATGTGGACAGCCATGGATATAAATCACTATCCACAGAACCACAGGGCTCTCCTGGGAACCGTAGTGGTGAAAGGAGCAGAACATGGGGCCGCTGTTCCCAGGAGTCAGTGCTCTGTGCTGGCAGGTCCTCCAGCACGGCTGTACTGCCCCCAGCCCCACCCACTGATGTGGGCACCAGGCTCACCGGCAGCTGTCCCTGCTCGCGCTCTTGTGTTCAAGTGGCACACATGCCCCCAGACAGGAGGTGCAGACAGCTGAGTGGAAGGGACGGGAGCAGGGCTGGGGGTGGTACAGCTGCTCTGGAGGAGCTGCCAGAGCAGGGCGCTGGCTCCTGGGAGTGGCAGCCCCATGTTCTCCTCTTTTGCTGCTGTGGTTCCTGTGAGAGCCCTGCAGTTTCATGGATATTGATTTATATCCGTGGATATGCCTTTGTATCCGTGCAGGGCTCTACCTGTGCAGTAACTAGCACAATGGGAATTTGGTTCTGACTTGGATCTTTGTGCAGCACTGCAGTACAAATAATAAAAAAACATTTGTACATCAAATAAATTGGTTTGTCCTTATTAGTGTTCGGATTGGCAAACTAAGCTACATGCTTTTTTATGATTATCCAAATTTATTTTGATCAGAAACATTGGCACCGACTAAGAAGAGCACCTTGCTTTAGTGAGATTGCATATTTCAAGTATTTCCAAATTGTCTAAGCCAAGGGGATTTTTAAGCTAACTCATGGTAATTAGGAATGTGATCTTGATGGATAAAAAATACTCATTCAAATCTATCTCAATAGTCTTTATAAGGGCAGAAAATTTTAGATCTACCTCTTCTTAGTCTTCAGCATAAACAAGACGTGGAAGTGTATTCTAGTGTCCATATGATGATTTGGCTTTTGTTCTCAAATGATAGAGAGGTTTCTGTCTGCTTCAGTAACCTTATGTCAAATTTCATTAGTTTTAAAGAATTCTTAAAAATACATAGTGAGGAGAAAATACCATAGAACACTGTATTGTGTGAATTTTATATAATGTAGATTACAGCTGCAGGATGTAAGCACCTGTGAAAGAATACATTGAATACACTTTAATGGTTGTACGTACAATATGCCTAATAAAGCAGAGAAACATAGATTTGCAAACTGTATTTCAGCAGTCAGCTATTTTTATTATACTGCAAATATTTACTTACCAAGTAACAATTTTTAGTGTTTTTTTTCAATAACTGACCCAGTCTTTCGCTTTTATTTTTTTAGTGCTGCAAGTTGAGAGAATCCTGTAGAGAACTGAAAATAGAATTTTATGGTTTCAGAGCTTGAAGCAACACTTACTCATAAAGATAAAATGCATACTCTCCGAATGATAGCTAAGCAACACATTTGAGAGACTGTCACTATGAAAATTGTTTGTGTCCATTGCTGTTGTATTTGACTAAACCAGCAAAGAGCCACTTGTTTTGAAATGCAGCTAAAGAAAATGAGGGAAATTTTACCAAAACTGTATACAAGCCAAGTTAATGACATAAATAATTCTTTGACTACATCTCCAAAGCAAGCCAATGAGGATGAAGCAAATCAACCAAAAGGGACTGAAGGCCAGAATTGTGTCTATCAAGCGGCTGAAGCTGAGGATAAGCTGTCATTGATCCTTTGTATAAAGTGCAGAAGTGTGCAAAAACTTCCAGTGCATGAATTACAAAAGCATAACAAACCCAGGCAGACTGAAGACAAAAACTTCATTTGCAGCAGCTGTAGTCTGAATACGCCACCGACTTTCCATTTTGTAGCTGACAGTGCCACTGCCATAGATTTAGAAAATCAAGAAAAACCATCCCTAAGTAAAACTCAAAAAACATTTAAAGTAAAAAACTTTCAACCAGACAAATATTACTGCGATAAATGTCGATTTTCAACAAAGGATCCTTTGCAGTATAAAAAGCATGTAGTTCAACATGAGGAGATTAAGTTTGTTTGCTCCCACTGTAACTATGTATCCTACACCAAAGGAGAATTCCAACGGCATTTGGTGAAACACACTGGAACTTTTCCATATCAATGTGAATACTGTGAATATGGTGCTGTTAGACATGATTATATAGTTAAGCATACCAGAAGAGTACATGAAACAGTTACTGAGAAGGGGCCAATGAATATGGCTACAAAACAAGAGCAAAAGAGATCTTGCTTACCAAAGAGAAGCACTTTGTTTTCTGAAAAGCAGAAGTGTGATCAAAAAGTTCCTCTTCAGAATGAACCTTCAGATTTATCATCAAGTACAATTTGCAGCAAAATCCAAGATGAAATGAGCAAAACAGTTTGTTTGTCTGGCGATGTAGAATGTAGCCTAGGTACAGCATCAGTCCGAGATAAAACTGTATTGGAACCAGCTGAAGTAAACATATATGAGAACCAAAATGTGGAAGTTGAAGTTTATTCTCCAAAAAAAGAGCCCATACAGCCTGGAATGCCATTAACAGTGATTGCACCTTCAGAACTTGTAGTTCCTTCTAACTGCTTAGCTCAGTTATTAGACATAAAAATAGTGAATGGCACACAACAGTTGGTTCTTAAACTTATTCCTCTGAAAGAAACCAGTAATAAACCTATAAACTGCGAAGAAGAAGAACTGGGAAATCAAGGTGCAGAACAAACAAAGAAAGGAAAAAGAATAACTTCTGTTGCTCAAAATGAATTAACCACCGAAGCAACTGTAAATTTATCTAGTATTAGTAACATTTTTGCTTCAGATAATAAATACCACAAGAACTCTGAATGTCTTAATTCCTCCAATTCTCATACTTCAGACTGTAACTCAAATGTACCTAGGCAGGATAAATCAAGAATAAGTTGCCCTAAATCCTCAAATAAGGAAAAATATGCAAAAAATGATTTATACTGTTCTAAAGAGACTCTGGACATGTCCACATGTGCATATGCTGCTTCCTCTGAAGGTGATAGATCCCAAACTGTTTTGTTGCAGGCAGCTCAGAAGAGCAACAGTTCCTCTTCATCTCTTGCCCTTGGAGAAAAGGACATATTGCCTTTAAATGGTGATGACAAAGAATGCAGGAGCCACATCATTAGCTCTCTGGAAACACATTTATTTGATACCTGTTTGGTTAAAGAATCTTTGAAAACTTCTCAAGGAGGGGGAGAGTTCTGTTTAAATAAAAGTGCATCTTTAGAGGAATCAAGTGTTGGCTTAAGTAAATTAAACACAGAGCACTCTGATTGTCAAAATAATCTATTAGAAGCTTTAGAATTGCAGAATGTAGAAAATAAGGACAGCCCTCCTGAGGGTCCTGTCATTTCATCTGTATTTTCCCTTAGCTCTGGGGCTGAAAACATCCCAGAGGGAATCAAGTGGGATAATACTGCATGCAATAAAAAGTCAACAACAATGCTGTGTAGAAAGATTGCTCAGTTGATGTCTGCTGCTGAGTGTAATGTGAAATCTACATTGGCTGCTTCACCTATGCCTGTTAGATGTTGTGCTTCTAATAAGAAGATGCCTTTGCCTCAGGAAACTTTAGCAAACTCTGAAAAAAATGTCCCTGTTACTGAATTGGAACAATTTGCATCTTCTCTTCAAACACCGCAGAATGGTGGGATTGGTAATGAACTGTGTAATAAACAACAACCACAATCACGGTCAGCTACAACAAAAACTAAAAGTAGAATGACTAAAAACACTCACATTGCTACTCCAGTGTTCATTCCAAAAGGGACAGTGCTGAGGGTCCTGAATGTCACTAAGAGTGAGAACACAAAAGAAGCAGGAGATAACAAAATGACATCTGCTACGCTGTGTTGCAACGAAATGTTTCTACCACGACCAGTTCCTTTCAGCATTTCTGAGAAACTAAGCAGTAACTTACCTTTGCCCAATGAGAGTGAACTTAATGAGCAGTCCAGAAATCAAAATATGTCACTTAGGCACAGACCAAAAAGAGAGGCTAATGCAAAAAGTAATAGCAAACAAAATTGTGTACTACTGCATCAAAAAAGTGATGAGCTAAGTAAGCAGAGCAAACTTACTTCAAAGGATCAACTTGTACCTAAAAATAAGGTAAAACCAGCAAATTCCAGGGATTATTTGTCTAAGAAGAAAACAAGAATTCACTCAGAAACCAATGGCATTTCTGAGGCGATGCCTCTTTTGACAGCAAGACGTCTTAGGCTTGTACCTCTTAGAGAACATCAGTTGATAAAATGTCCTCGTCGTAACCAGCCTGTAGTTGTGTTAAATCATCCTGATGTTGATTCAGCAGAGGTAATTAATATAATGAAAATTGTCAACAAGTATAAAGGCAATATTGTGAAAGTCGTTTTATCAGAAAGAACGAGTAGTTGTCTTGGTGTGAAACAGTATAATAAACGGCTTACATTTCAGAACTTGGAAACAACAAGCCAAATGAAAAAGCAGAACTTTTTAAAAATGAAGCTAAAAAAGACCCATAAAAACAACTACCGGGTTGTGGAAACGTCACCAGCTAAAACACTGCAGTGTATGTTTAAGTGTTGGTTTTGTGGAAGGATATATGTAGACCAGGAAGAGTGGATAAGTCATGGACAGAGACATTTGATAGAAGCAACCAAAGGCTGGGATGTTCTTTCTCTTCCTCTAGAGAGCCACAAGTGAGAAACTGTCAGTTTACTGCACTTATTTTAACACGAGTGCCATTAATTTGTTTGGAAAGGGAGACAGAAGTAAATATTTTACTGGAGGATTTTTATATTTAGCAGGTGGGAGAGTGGTAATAGGGATTACAAACTGTATGAGAAGCCAGTCTTGAGCACTAAACACTACATAGCACTCCGATGTCTGAAATAAGTGTTACGGCTATCCCTTGCTTTTTTGAAGGAGACCTGGAAATGATTTGCTCTGAAACATTCAAGGTGTAATTCTCTTCAATAGGACACTATTTGCAGTAATGTTATGTTGCAGGGTCAATAGGGTTTTAAAATATATCCAACTATATGACCTGTGTGAAATTAATTGAATTCTGTCTGATTTTACTACTACAGCTTAGTGGTTCAGAGATCAGGCATAAGTCTAATGAAGAGCATCTTTGACCCCTCTGTGAATAAAAAAATGTTCATCATAATTTAGTAGCAAATTTAAAAAAAAATGTCAGAGGAAGAAACTGGTGCTGAATCTGATCAAACTCAAATTTTATGGAACAGAAGTAACTCGACTGACTTTAGTGGAGCTACACCAGTGTAAATGAGGAATTGGTGAGATCAGAATCAGACCCATTATGTGGAATGGCAATGAAAGCTTAATTCTGTGTTGTACAGTCAGGGGCCAAGTTGTGTCTTGTGCCACACAGGTGTGAAGTGGGAAGAGGACACAGGTGGCTACTTACTGTGCAAGCAAGCAGGAGCTCAACTTAGAGTGCTTGAAATGAGGCCTGGCTTCTTTACTAGCTGGCATGATGTGATTCTGATGGATTGTGCTTTAATGAGTTAGGACCTGACCACACCAACGCATGCTGTAGGGCGTAATGATCAGTGCTCTGTGTAATCCCATTAGAAACGTACACGTTCAGGATAGAGTCTTTAACTAGGACCCAAGCCAGCCTAGCAGCTAGTGCATAGATAAGACGAACTAGCTGGAGAAACAAACTGCTGCTTTGAAAAAAGAGAAAGTATGATGCAGAACTCTACATTGCCAGTACCTATCCACATTTTCAGTAGAATCTTTGTTTAGACATCCTAAATTTGAAGAATTTGCATGTTAGAATCTACACATGTAAGCCTGAATTCAGCAAGCTACTTACCAATAATAATAATAAGCACATGCCATTGATTGTTGTGTGACTACTCAGTAAAGTCAATAGGATGATTCATGTGCTAAGTGCCTTGCTGAATGAAGGTGAGTTTTTAGTGGGGATGGAGGATGGATGATAGTGAAGTTAAGAATTTTCTTGGTTATCTTGTCGCAAATTGTAAACCATTTTATTTTTTAAAATTTCATGTACAGCAAGTGATGAATTGAGCACATATTTGCAGTCACATTTCTACAGGTAAAAAAATAATTAATTTAATGCTGGAGATATATTATACATTTGAACTTTGTATAAATGCTTGTAGTTCCTAATTGTTAACAGTGGAAAAACACATTTTGTTATGTAACAACAACAAAAAAAACCAATACAACATTTCCTGCCCCCTTCCCCCCCCCAAACAACCTATTAGTCTGGGAATATTTTTTGTTTTTTTTTATACTCTAGAAAATTAAACATGGTTTTGATAAGATATGTACTATATCTCTATTGAAATGTAAATACTTTGAAACTAAAAAGCACATCTTGAGACTTAGGTCTAATTTACAAAAACATGAGGAATTGGTGAGATCTTTTTTGTTAGACCATTTTGCAATACAATATTAAAATCTTCAGATATTTGGTGCTCTCAGAAGGGAGATCTTGTATTACTTTGCAACTTTTTGTATTGTAGTGAGGCTAAACTGTTCAATGGAATACATTTTGTATTATCTCTTTTTTCAAGTAATTAAATGACAGTTCTTATTTTGAAATGGGAATTTATATTTTTTTAGATAGGGACAGTAGAGATTTTCACTGTGTTCTTTGAAGCCAAACATAATATTGTTTTAATTTTAAATTGTGAAAATAGTTTCCATTTCTAAATTCTGTCATATCAGAGTATAATAAATATTGAAACTGCTAACATATGAAAAACCACTTCTGGCCAAATTCTTCCTCACTTACACTCATCAGCCCAGGCAGATGTTTGAACCTACTTTAGTTTCTGTAGAAGCTATTAAGGAAATATTTTTGAATCCTCTATTTGTTTAAGAGATGTCATTGGCAAAATATGAATATCTTTAATCAACTTTGTATTCTTAAAAATTGTGCTGTGTGCCGGATTATAAACAGATTGTAGATGGGTTTAGTAGTGTTTTTCTTTGCCTATTTTAGTAAACAAAGAAGAGTCTTCGTAAACCTAATTGTTAATCTACATGACACTGTTCTCCCTGTATTAAATTTACAAAATATAAGTGTTTTTATATTAACATGAACATTTTTAGTAAATTGAATTGTATGGTGGCTATAAAAATTAGACAGCAGATCTCATGCCTCTTTCTCTTGCCAAGGACATCCAAACTCTGCCCAGATGGGGGTGTCTCATTTTTGTTTTTTGATGTAGTATTGTCTTCAGTTAGTTTTCCTTCTGGAGTTTTAATAGTTTTGTGACTTAAGATAAAGAGTGTGACCCAGATTCTCTCCTGTGCTGAGCTTCATTTGACAGAGTATGCTCCAGGAGAGAGGCTGTCTGGGAGTTGGGTATGGCTTTCTGATTCTCAAGGCAGATGTGCACCTTGATGAGCCCAGTAGAAATTAGAACAGGGGTTGGAATACCCTATTTGGCCTCTATAACAATTTTTTCCCCCGCGTCCTGCTGGACAAGATACTCTTTCTTGTTCCTGATTTGTTAAAGGACCCATGACTGATTCTGTTTTCTATTATATTTTAATCATCTAACCAATCTGGTGGGAAACATGCTTGAGAGACCCACTGATGGTTTGAGGAACAGAAGCAAAGTTTGCCCTATACATTCAGGCTGAATTTAAACTACAGAAACCTTACAGTTCTCAAATGATGTAAATATATACTATATATTACATAAGAGAAATTCTTTTTGTACAAACTTTTTAGTCTGTGTATTTTTAAAGAGGCCAGAATTATGCTCTAGTGCCTCTGACTATGATTTCCTCTCAAGTTTCCCATAGGATATGAATTCAATGGGACTAATTGCGTGAGTAATCTTACCTCCATAAGGGTTTGAAGAATTGGGAATGAAACACAAGCCTCTGTTGCTTGAGCTAAAGAATAATTACTGTTAGTCATCCCTAGTAGTAAGATTTATCTCATGGAGGCCAGCCCTAAAGTCTGAGCCAGTGGTGGTTGAAGTCTGTTGAAAGACTATAATTGATTTCATGAATATTGGATTGCTCCCCTACTGAGCAGGCGATTCGATTGTTTGTTTAAAACCTGCCTATAGTCTGCAGCAATAGAGAAATGGTTAAACAATATGTGCCAAGTTAGATGCAACTTTTCTGAGTTTAAATGCAGGAATATTTTGTAATGCAATTCTAATATATTACATTGTTTTGTTTCATGGATTTATTTTGTGGTCTTAGTAACAGAGAGATTTTGTTAATATAAGAGATCAAACAATTTATCAGTTATCAGCAAGAAAATATTGCTTAGAAGTTAGCTGCTGTTCATACCTTTTTTGTGCAGTTGTACTGCGACATTTATTTGTACATGCAGCAACACCCTCTATTTGAAGTTTCACTTTTGTATATTTCATAATTTTATGATTTTTTTTCATGCAGAGCAGAGTACAATTTGATCTAGTCTCATATGAGAGAAATCACATTTCATTGTATTCATGAGAAACTTCTATGAAGAGTTCTAATTCTTGTTGAACTCAAGTCTAATCTCCTAATTTCAACACAGATTTTAAATATTAAGGTGTTCTTATTTTTACATTTGTACAAACATTTGAAATCACTTAGGGTAAGAAGCATCTTCTGTTCAACTTAAAAGGGTGTGTTAGGTAACATTGTTCTCTCTGGACTCCAGACTTATCCTTTCCATCAATAAGTGTAATGGGAACACATGTGTAGAAGTCTATGATTTCTTGCACTGAATCAAACTTCTGAAAAACAATAAACAATTGAACAGAGAAATGCTGAAAATCCTTATCTTCTGATATGAAACAGGTAAGAAGAACCAAAGCAATACCACATATAAGAAATAACACCTCTCCCTACCTCTCGCCCCCCACACACTCCCACCCCATTTCACCCCCTTTGCGCCTCCAGTAGTCTTCCCTGCTTAATATTACATTGGGACACAGTAGCTTTCTTTTTTAGGGGCAGAGGGTTTTAAACCCTTGGAATGTAACCTAAAATCCAGCCAACAGCAATGTGTGTGTTTTTTAAAGTGTGGCATTGCCCATAAGGGATTAAACTACTGATTTTATTTTATTTATATACTTTGGACCCTCTCTAGAATGCGGGATTTGGGATCCATGCATGTTGCCGCGTTAACGCGGGGACCGCGTTATAGCAGAGACCGCATTAAAATGAATTTCAGTTAAAGTAATTAAATTTGGGATCCATGGTTGCGACTGTTATATGAGAATTCGCACTATATAGATGCGCATTCTAGCCAGGGTCCGGTGTGTGTATATATAAAAACTCACTCACTCACTCACATGTTCCTAATCTATTATTTACTGAAGTATGCAAAAAACTAAAAAGAAAATAAACTGACATTCAGTGCAGGATACTTTAACTGTTGTATAATATGCTTCCTCGTCCTTCCTGAAATTGATGTCTTTTAGTGAATATATTGAGCTCATGGTTTTAATAGCATTTACCTCCCAGCTGTTATGAGGAAAGTAAGATAAAAACATTCTACTTCTTCTTTTTTTTTTTTAACTAACCAGTTGGGAATATCTTGTGAGGAGCTGAGCATCTCCCACCCTCATTAACTTTAATGAGATTTGAGAGTGCTTAGTAGTAACTCCCAGAAGATGCTTGGCTCATTGTACAATTGGGCCCTCAGGTGAGCTCAATTTAATATACAAATTATGTATGTAAATGTGTACAGCTGTGGCTTAATTGCCAGCAAAAGACACCAACAAAGTTATGATTTTAAATTTGGTTGGTTTTCCTCTTTTGCTTGTATTCATTGCATTATGGCTTTGTACCAATTTAACTGCATGAGGTTTTAGACACATGGTGTTGGTCACCGTGCTGCTAATAGAGAGGTAACAGTTTTCTAGGATAAATCCAAACTGTAGTCAATACAGTTCTTTTTCATAAAGAGATGTAAGGCCTAATGCTGTCCTTGGATAGATGTTTAAGTGGAATCAATTTCTTCTCAGAAAACTTCCCAAGGAAAAGTATGAAAAATAACATAGATGATGAAATTTACATTAGTTAATAAATAACAATCTGAATATGAAAGCTCAAAACCAGTATTTGGGATGGAAAAAAATTGCTAGATTAAATTAATTGAGTTTAAAAAAAATAGGTAAAATAAATTAATCCAAAAGTGAAAGCATGCTGCAGAAAATTTCCATCAGAAGAGAGTTATCCTTTAAAGAAGTGAAGATGCGAAATTGGAGAGAGGATGGCAAAGTACAGATTTTGAATATTAGGTCTGCATCTATTTTTTTTTCTGTCTCCCACATGCAAAGATGGAATTCTCTTAATCTTAACAATATATTAATCTGTACTAAATACATTTGAAAAGCATTTAAGCAGACAGGGAAATTACAGATTGCAATTTTACTCTAATTGTTGAAGCCTTATAAATGTTTTAACCGCTTTGAGACAAACTGAGAAGAGAATAAACAAGAAAGAGCAACTTTGGAATCCTTCTGCTTACTCCATCTGAAATGCAGAGGCAGCTCTGATGAACAGTACATGCTGTACCTGCACCCCTACCCCAGTTCAGTGCATCAGTTCCCTCCCCACTTCCCAAAGACAGGTGCTGGTGTGATAGAAAGAAATGCTTCTCTTGGGAGTGTCTTGTCTCTGGGGCTTCCCAATGCTGCAGAGAAATTCTGGTCAATAGGAGACTTTAGTCAATCTCCATTGTTGGTTTCTGGGAAAGTTTTGTTTTTTTAAAACTTAAAAAAACAATTATATAAAGCCAACATTAAAATGGAAGATTTAAGCCATTTCTAATAGTTATAGATTTACTTTGTTAAAACCAACCAGTCTTGTACACTATGGTGATAAGAACTGAGAGACTATTAAAATACTTATTTTTGAAAATGGAACAGCATTGTAATATGAGTACTTTTGGTGCAGATCCACAGTCTAGGATGGGCATGTTCCCTCTGTGCACAGATTAGAACCTACTTATAAGTTCTGACTTTTGGGTCCGTCCATCACCTGAGATGACAAAGTTGGTATGTCTACCTTCCCACTTCTATGAAATCATTGTAAGATTTTTTTCCTCAAAGTTGTTTACATTTGTAAGATCATATAGGTCTTTCTTTTCCAATGCGCTAAAATGTCTGAAACTTGGTAGCACTCTGTACCATTGTGTAATAGTGCTCTGTACTGCCAGTTTCATTCCATTTTTTATGAGAGTTCTGTCTCCTGTTTTGGAGCCTTTTTATTTTGTCTGAATCCATTAAAAAAGTCTCAAGTGTGCATCTTGTGAAAGGCAAGATGTCATTTACCAGCCTCCACTTTGGCTGGGTGGTGGTGCTTGGAAGAGGGTCATCCAAAAATGTGATGCTCAGTTTACTGATTTCACATAAATATTCATAAGGAGTGAATATGAGCGTTCTTTTTTTGACAGAAGAGGCTTTAAAAATTTAGGCAAAGTCTGGCCACCATGCCAAGTGAAGGCCAGGCCCTTCTCCCTTATGAGAGCTGAGACAAATCACAGGCCATATGCAAGGAGTCCTTGGTTCCATGAGGTTCCAGGAAGCCTCAACAGTTGAAGAATCATACAAGCTTGAATATCTCTTTCAGGGAGAGGGAAGAACCATCACCACTGTTCCCCTGGACCACACTGTGGTCCCAGGAAAAGAGCTAGAAGCTCAGATCTGAAAGAGTCAGCACTTTTAGAGTGCCTCACAACCAAGACAAGGGGGCTCCAGCAACACCTTGGTGATGAACCTTTTGAATCTGAGGGACGGAACATCTATATTCTTGGCGTGGATGGTCCCTTTAAGAGCTGAGTGCCGGCTGGAATCTACACTGTGATTATTAAGGTATTCTAACCTTCTACTTCCAAGTCTAACTCATTGTGCCTGAGCTGGGGTCCCTTCCTCATTGCTAAACCTGCGTCCACTGAAGGGAATATGACATTGGAACTCAGGCCTCAAAAGTGCTGTCAGATGCATAAAGTAAAAGCTGAAAAAATAGCGAAAATTATTTAAAAAAAATTGTACATGTCATTTGGAACCACATGGATGAAACTATATATAGGCCAGAACTGTTCTTACTTGGGCAAAATTCCTGATGGTTTAAAATGGGAATTTGAGCATGCAAGATTAGGTCCTAAATTACTCCTGTGACTTATTTGTCAGCATTTCAAGCAGTTATTATTTGAAATGAAAAGATTTGAAGTGAAACTTTTAATGAAACACCTGACAAGTTAGTCGTCTTTATGCTAGGTATTGTATAAGAACATAAGAATGGCCATACTGGGTCAGACAAAGGTCCATCTAGCCCAGTATCCTGTCTTCTGTCAGGTGCCCCAGAGGGAATAAACAGAACAGGTAATCAAGTGCTCCTGTGACCTTGCACTCTATATGATTTTATGAAAATATGCTAATCTAACTGGAATATGCTTCATGCAAAAGGTCTCTTATAAGGTATCATTACAAAGCTTATAATCTACGGAGTGTGATCATCCTATTTGTATAAATGTACCACTCTTGTATCTGAACCTAGAAATATGAAATATAACTCTGAGGGTCTATTGTAATTATGCAAAGTGTGGTGTATTAATGGTGGTTTGGAATCTTGATGACTCCCATTAACCAGGACAATTGACTGCAGATGGCTCGGTTTTACCTGTAAAAGTGTGTGCTGGCAAGTGGGTAATGAAGTCTTAGTGACATGTGATCATGTCACCTGAATTGGAATCCATCTTTAACCTGGTGCTTTTCCATTGGGGGGACCCAGAGGGACAAAGGATTCCCGCCTTATGCAAAAGATATATAAGTGGGTGGAACAGATTAAAGAGAGAGCCATCATGAGGAATCCCCTAGCTACCACCTGAGCTGGAACAAGGGCTGTACCAGGGGGAAAGGATTGTGCCCAGACTAGGAAGGCATCCAGTCAGTGAAAGAGACTTATTGAAACATCTTTCAGGGTGAGATATTATCTGTACTCAGTTGTATTAGGCTTAGATTTGCGTGTTTTATTTTATTTTGCTTGGTGATTCACTTTGTTCGGTCTGTTACTACTTGAAACCACTTATCCTACTTTCTGTATTTATTAAAATCACTTTTTACTTATTAACCCAGAGTATGTATTAATACTTTGGGAGGGGGGCAGCAAACAGCTGTGCATATCTCTTTATCAGTGTTATAGAGGGTGAACAATTTATGAGTTTACTCTGTATAAGCTTTATACAGGGTAAAACTGATTTAATTAGGTTTAGACCCCATTGGGAGTCGGACATCTGAGTGTTAAAGGCAAGAACACTTCTGTAAGCTGCTTTCAGTTAAGTCTGCAGCTTTGGGGCAAGTAATTCAGACCCTGGATCTGTGTTGGAGCAGACGGGTGTGTTTGGCTCAGCAAGGCAGGGTGCTGGGGTCCCGAGCTGGCAGGGAAAGCAGGAGCAGAGGTAGTCTTGGCACATCAGTTGGCCCTTCCTAAGGGGGTTTTTGTGATCTAATCCATCACAGATCCATCCCATCACCCATTCCCAGCTTCTGGCAAACAGAGACTAGGGACACCATCCCTGCCTATCCTAGCTAATAGCCACTGATGGACCTATCCTCCATTAACTTTAGTTCTTTTTTTAACCCTATTATAGCCTTGGCTTTCACAACATCCTCAGGCAAGGATTTCCACAGGTTGACACTGCGTTGTGTGAAGAAATACTTTCCTATGTTTGTTTTAAACCTGCTGTCTTTTAATTTCTTTTGGTGACTCCTAGTTCTTCTGTTATGAGAAGGAGTAAATAACACTTCCTTATTTACTTTCTCCAGTCATGATTTTATAGACCTCTATTATGTCCCCCCTTAGTCATATCTTCAAAGCTGAAAAGTCCCAGTCTTATTAATCTCTCCTCGCATGGAAGCTGTTTCATATCCCTAATCACTTTTGTTGCCCTTTTCTGAACCTTTTCCAATTCCAATTCCAATACATGTTTTTGAGATGCAGTATTCAAGATGTGGGTGTACCATAGATTTAGATAGAGGCAATATGATATTTTCTGTCTATTATCTAGCCCTTTCTTAATGATTCCCAATGTTCTGTTTGCTGCACATTGAGTGGATGTTTTCAGAGAACTATCCACAATGACTCCAAGATTTTTCTTCAGTGGTAACGGATGACTTAGACCCCATCATTTTATATGTATAGTTGGGATTATGTTTTCCAATGCGCATTACTTTGCATTTATCAACATTGAATTTCATCTGCCATTTTGTTGCCCAGTCACCCAGTTTTGAGAGATCCTTCTGTAGCTCTATGCAGTCTGTCTGGGACTTAACTATCTTGAGTAGTTTTCTATCATCTGCAAATTTTGCCACCTCACTGTTTACCCCTTTCTCCAGATCATTTATGAATATGTTGAATAGGACTGGTCCCAGAACAGACCCCTGGGGAACAACACTAATTACCTAATTAATCCCCTATAGTATTTAGAGCTGTTAAATGCAACAGGTAAACAATAAAGTAGAATATCAGATGGTATTTCACTCACATCATCTCCTCTGAGCCCTGTTCCCAATGCATATTGCTGGCTGTCTTCCAGAAAACGTATTTTAATATTGTATACCTTGTTTCCGTAATATATGACCAAAACATATGGTTCAGCACTTGATTTTGTTGAACAATCTCTGACCAAGAATGTCTCATCCTGCATGACAAATTATAACATTAGTTATACCTGTAAATTCCATTAATGTGTTTACATAAACAGCCCAGGAGTTTTGAGTAAATTCTACAAGATTATTTAATGTGTGAACTATATAATAGAATATTGTAATCAAAATAGATTTTGAAACATACTATATTTGTAAACAAGGTGTCTTCTGACTATAACATAAAGAAGATTTTTTAATTAATAAAGTTCTTAGATTTAAGTAGTGAATTACATCTACGTAGTATACTTATTGAATCTCTGTATACAATAATGAGAATTATAGGGCAATGTATATTGCAATATTCTAGAATTTTTAATGTGGAAGTACCTTTTTCATATTAAAATGCTGGAAAAATTGATACCAAGAAGAAAATATTGTATGTGAAGAAAGAAGAGTAAGATGATAATGTAAGGCAGTGGGAGTGTCATACCAAGGGTATTGCATCTAAAAATAAAGTTTTGGTTCATGCGCCTCAATTACACCTGGATGTAAAGTAAAGAAATTACATGGACTATCTGTAATGGAACCTATGATATTACCATAAATTCTATATGTTGCGTTGAACCTCTTAATTTATTTTAATTTAATGTTATGGATCTAGAAGGAAGCATATTCAAAATTTGATTTTTCATATAGTATTGTATTTGCACATTTTAAAGAGAGAGCACTGAATTTTTCATATATCAGACTTAATTTTATTATAGAATTATACAGTAAGAAAGTTGTGTAGGCCCCAATTCTATACTATATGACAGACCTGCGGGTGGCTCTTTTACAACAGAAAAACTTCAAAAACAGACTCCAACGAGAGACTGCTGAGCTGGAATTGATATGCAAACTAGATACAATCAATTTAGGATTGAATAAGGACTGGGAATGGCTGAGCCATTACAAACATTGACTCTTTCTCCCTTTGTAAGTGTTCTCACCCTTCTTATCAAACTGTCTGTACTGGGCTATCTTGATTATCACTTCAAAAGTTTTTTTTTCTTACTTAATTGGCCTCTCAGAGTTGGTAAGACAACTCCCACCTGTTCATGCTCTCACGTGTGTGTGTGTGTGTGTGTGTATATATATATATATCTCCTCAATATATGTTCCATTCTATATGCATCCGAAGGAGTGGGCTGTAGCCCATGAAAGTTTATGCTCTAATAAATTTGTTAGTCTCTAAGGTGCCACAAGTATTCCTGTTCTTTTTGTCTATACTGGCACTTTTCAGTACTAAAACGTTTGTCACTCGGGGGGGGGGGGGTGTTTTTTCACACCCTGAACGATAAAAGTTTTAGTGCTGAAAGTGGCAGCGTAGACACAGCCTTAGGATGAATATTGGGTGGGATTTTCACAAGTGGTTAAAGGAGTTAAGTGCCCAACATCTATTGACTTTCCAATGACAGAAAGGAGGGTGTGCCTGTCCCTCTCACAATAGCAGGAGCAAGTATTCAACTCTGAATGATGTCCTTTTTATATTGAAGTCTGAAACACATCCACATAAATACAATCCACCAATGCAGCCACTCCTTGCTGAAGTTATACCTCCCTAATACAGAGAAGTTTTGACTGTGATCCAATTTACAGTATTGGAAAGCCATGTTCTGGTGAGATATCTCCCACAGTCAGGTTGTGACAAATAGCATGCTTTTGTTAGCTGCTTTTCCTTTATACCACTCACCTGTATGAAAAAACAAAAGATCTCCCTCTTTTGCTTTCCAAACCATCCATTGTGAGTGTCAGGGTTCCCTCCCCACTCTGAACTTTAGGGTACAGATGTGGGGACCCACATGAAGACCCCCTAAGCTTATTTCTACCAGCTTAGGTTAAAAACTCCCCAAGGCACAAATTTTCTTATACCTTGGATTAAGTAACGCTGCCACCATCAAGTTATTTAAACAAACATTTAGGGAGGGCCACTTGGAGCCCTACCTTCCCCAAATATCCCTGCAAGCCTCTACACCCCTTTTCCTGGGCAGGCTTGAGAATAATCCCCTCACCAATTGGTACAGGTGTACACAGACCCAAAGCCTTGGATCTTAAAACAATGAAAAATCAATCAGGTTCTTAAAAGAAGAATTTTAATTAAAGAAAAGGTAAAGGAATCACCTCTGTAAAATCAGGATGGTAAGTACTTTACAGAATAACAAAAGATTCAGGAACATAGAGGATCTCCCCTGTAGGCAAAACCTTAAAGTTACAAAACCAGGGATAAACCTTCCTCCTCCTACTTTTATTTTGGCTTGTAATTTCCTTTGTAAGCTAACACATTCCTTCGCTAGTACTTACTAATACTAATGGAGTTGGATTGCTTGCTTTCTTGATATGTCTCCGGCAAGCACACAGAACAGACAGACAAAGCCTTTTTCCCTCCCTGCCCAGATTTGAAAGTATCTTGTCCCCTTATTGGTTTTTTTGGTCAGGTGTCAGCTAGGTTACCTGAGCTTCTTAACCCTTTACAGGTAAAAGAGGAATTAAGCCCATACTGGGTAAATAGGGATGTTATGCTACCCTTAGCTGTATGTTTATGACAGTGAGGATGGCCAGTACAGTTTAGTGCTGGCAAATATGCCAATGCAAGGGGCCTTCAGCTCTTGTACGCTGCTTCATGCTGATTGAGAGTTCTTTGGGGAAAAGTTGAGCCCTCTGGGAAACAGAATGTCTCTCACTTACCTTGGGTTAAAAATATTATGCATAAAATGGCCTGAAATAATATTGCAGATTCCTTCAGTCACGATTTAACAGGAAACCTGTCTGCAATATTTAAACGATAAATGAGGCTGGTTTCAGGACAGTGTTCCCTCTAATTTTTTCCCACGCGTGCAGAATGAATTTTGTTATGTTCACCAATAGGAAGGTGATGTGTCACACATCACCTTCCTATTGGTGAACATAACAAAATTCATT